CATGCAAGGGGAGAGGGAAGGGGACGGGGCTGCAACGCAGGTGAGTTTTATTGCAGGAGATAATGTGAGCCTGGTGTGCTTCAAGGGAGCTTTGATGTGTCCATGGGATGGGGAGGAGGATGTCCTGTTGAGCTCACGGCTCCCAGCATGAGGCTTTAGCAGCTGGCAGTTTGGGGTTCTTTTGGTTTATTTCTTCTTCTCACACAGGGGAGTGTAAAATGAGGCCTTTTCCCGATGTGGTTTTTTTTTCTCAGCTCCCTTTTTCCACAATGCCCGTCCCTGGATGGCAGCTCTGGGTGTGCTCCTCCTGCTTTTAGTGATGTGTTTTGGTGTCATTGCTTATCTCTTCCGAAGGAAAGGTGAGTTTGTAGTTGGGGGGATGGAGTGGAGGGGCTAAGGTGTTGAGTGAGGCCCATGGACGTACGCAGAATGGGATCAGAGTTGTGTCAGAACAGGTTTTGTCTTCATGAAAGAAGCTCTTTGGGCAAATGTAAGGGTGGGGAGAAGGACATGGGGTGTGGGTGGGAGAATAGGGAGTATGGGCAGAGCATCTGGCTGGTGGGAAGGTCCAAGACACCTGGGGAGATGGAGCCAGGGATGAAGCAGCTGCTCTCCTGACCTCCTCTTCCTCTACCTTTTTCTTTCCAGTGATGCAGTCCCGAACGCTGGGTGAGTCCTTCTGGCCCCTGCCACCAGCAAAGCCTCCCTCTGGGAGGGATGTGGATTTGCCTGGTTCTTGATGTTTCTCTGGTCATTGATCTGGGTTTCTGGAGCCCAGAAGGGGACTGGAGAGCCCTGGGGTTGGGAACTGGGCACGGGAGGTGTCCTGGCTCACGGGAAGAAGCAGGGACCAGTACTGGCTGAGCTTAAATCAGGCTGAACCTTAAATCTCTGCTGAAGTCAGGCATAACTGCAGAGTGCCTGGATGGTCTGGGGTGGGGATAGGAGGGCAGGAACCCCTGCCATGAGCCAAGGGGCCTTTTCCAATTTCCCAAACAGAAGGAGTTTGGGCTCAGCCCATGCTCTGCCTGCTCACACCATGGGGTGAGAAGCTGTCCCCTCTCATCACTCATTGATTTTGTTTCTTGCGTTCCAGGGAAACGAGATGCAGAACTGGGTGAGTCTCCTTGAGCTCCCTCTGGCTCCGTGTCCTCTCCCGGGTGCTCTGAGCTCGGCCCCTTCCCCCCTTGCCCGTCCTCTCCATCCCTGCATCCCCTGGGTCCATGGAAAACCCGGGGGGAGGTGCCTTGGGGGGTGGGCGGCTTGGGGACACCAGAGTAGGGATGGACACTCTCCCCTCTCCAGAGTCTCTGGGGAGAGTTTGTGGGAATTGATCAGGCTGGAGGAAGCCATCCTAGGGACCAAGGGAGTGTTTTCCCACTCCCCAAGAAAGGAGGAGTTTGGGGTTTCCCCATCTCTGCTTACTCCTTCTTGAGTACTTTTGTGATTAGAAGCTGTCCTCTCTGACCAAATATCGCTTTTGCTTTCCAGAGGAACAAGCTGCACTCTTGGGTGAGTCTCTGTGAGCTCCTCCGGGCTCCATGTTCTCCTCCTGGCCCTCTATGCTTACCCTTTCCCACCTTGCCCGTCCTCTCCACCCCTGCATTCCCTGGGTCTGGGTAAACAACGAGGGGATGTGCCTGGTGGGGTGAGCAGCTTGGGGACACCATACCAAGCTGGACCCTCTCCCCTGGCCAGAGTCCTTGGGGACCAGCCATGGGACATGACCAGGCTGAAGGGAGGCATTCACAAGCTTTGGGGGTCTGTTCCCATTCTCCAAAGAGAAGGAGTTTGGGCTCAGCCTGAGCTCTGCCTGTTCATGCCGTGGGGGGAGAAGCTGTCCTCTCTGATCAGTCATTGATTTTGTTTTTCACTTTTCAGGGAAACAAGATGGAGAACTGAGTGAGTCTCTGTGAGCTCCCCTGGCTCAGTGTTGTATCCCGGGTGCTCTGGGCTCGGCCCCTTTCCCTCCTGCCCCTCCCCTCCATCCCTGCAGCCCCTGGGTCTGCTGGGCAAACCCTGAGGGGAGGTGCCTGGGAGGATGGACAACTCAGGGACACCAGAGCAGAGATGGTCCCTCTTCCCTCACCAGAGTTTCTGGGGAGAGTTTGTGGGACTTGCCCAGGTTGGAGGGAGCCATTCAAAGGGTTTGGGGGGCTGTTCTCCCACTCTTAAAAGGAGGAGTTTTGCCTCTGCCCACTGTTGTAGTTGCAGGTGTGTGTTGAGAAGATCTCCTCTCTCATCACTCATTGCTTCAATTTTTCCTTTCCAGAGCAACGAAATGCAGAACTGGGTGAGTCTCCATGAGCTCTTCCTGACTTGATGTCCTCTCCTGTGGGATTTGTATTCGGCCCCTTACCCTCCTGCCCATCCTCTCCATCCCTGCATCCCCTGGGTATGGGCAAATTCCGAGGAGAGGTGCCTGGGGTGGGGTGGGTAACTCGGGGACACCAGACAAGGGATGGACCCTCTCCCCTGCCCAGAGTCCCTGAGCACCAGCCATGGGACATGACCACGCTGGAGGGAGCCATTCCTTGGGACCCAGGGAGTGTTTTCCCACTCCCTAAAAAGGAGGAATTTAGGGTTTCCCCAGCTCTGTTTATCTTTCCTGAGTAATTATGGGGTGAGAAGCTGTCTTTTCTGACCAAATATTGCTATTGCTTTCCAGAGAAACAAGCTGCACTGCTGAGTGAGTAACCATGATCTCCTCCTGGCTCGATGTTCTCTCCTGGGCCCTCTATGTTCGGCCCCTTTCCCCCTTGCCCTCCTCTCTATCCCTGCATCCCCTGGATCCAGGGAAACTGCAAGGGGATGTGCCCAGGGGGATGGGCAGCTTGGGATCTCCAGACCAGGGATGGGACCTTTGCCCTTCCCAGAGCCACTGGGGACGGGCCATGTCATGTGACCTGCTCTTATCTCTCCTTGTAGCTTGGAGAAAGTTTCTGCTTCCTGAGAATCCAGGTAATGTGTATTTTTTTTAATTTATTTTATGTTCATTTATGGGTGGTTCTTTTCCCTTTCCCTCTGTGTGAGGTGTAACTGGGCTGTCCAGCGAAGGGACTGGCCATGCCCGGATGTGTTGGTGACTCAGATCCCCCTGGACCATGGCACTGGGCTGGATCTCACCCCTGTTTTCTTGCCATTCCACCCCATTCTGAATTACACCGTGGTGCCCCAGAGGTGCCATCTCCTCCTGAGATCCCTTCCACTACCCAGAACAGCTCCTCTCCCCATCCTGCTACTCCCTTGGGGCTGCAGCTGCGCCGGTGCCTCTTCCCATGGGACAGAGCTTGGCCATGGCTGTGGTGGGGCCATCCCCATAGTGGAGATGGAGAAGAGGAAAGAAGATGCCCAGTCTCCTGCCTCGCTGGGTACATCCTGGCCCCGAGGTAGGGGGTGAAACCTGCCCAGCACTGAGCTCTGATGCTCCTGCTCCTCCTGTCCCCTGCAGATATGGTGACCCTGGATCCAAACACGGCTCATCCAGAGCTTGTCCTGTCGAAGGATTTGAGAAGTGTGAAGCATGGACCCGCACGCGAGAACCTGCCCGACACCCCCGAGAGATTTAGTTCTTGGCGCTGTGTGCTGGGCCAGGAGAGGTTCCTGGAGGGGAGGCACTGCTGGGAGGTGGAGGTGAAGGAGGAAGTGGGAGGTGATTCATGGTGGGGTGTTGGGGTGGCCAGTGAGTCTGTGCAGAGGAAGAGGGGATTGGATCTGAGGCCTAAAGAAGGGATCTGGGCAGTTGACAGGTATGCAGGGCAGTTCAGGGCTCTCACCTCTCCTCGCACCATCCTGTCCCTGTCCCCAGTCCCCAGGAGGATCTGTGTCTGTCTGGACTGCACACAGGGGCTGGTGACTTTCCTCAACGCTGACACTGCGGGCGAGATCTTCACTTTCACATCAGCCATGTTTAATGGGAAGGCCCTGTGCCCCTGGTTTTTGCTGGAGACAGAGGAAACCCAGCTGTGCCTTGGGGGCTAAACCTTGCTAAACCTTCAGCCCCACTTTCATCCTCAACACAAACTCCTGCGGAGCCTGTCCTTCTCCAGAAACTCCCCACTCTCCTCTCCTGGACCCTGTAGGAGATGTCCCTCCCTGCCCTGCCCCAGAGTGGGAGTGAGATCAGGGGCTGCTGTGGGATCTCCCCCGGTGCTGGGAGGCTCCGAGCAGGAGGGGGTGTCCTTGTTTACCTTGTGGGGTGGGCAGCTCGGGGACACCAGGGCAGGGCTGGAACTTCTCCCATGTCCAGAATCCTTGGGGACCAGCCAAAGGACATGACGAGGTTGGAGGGAGCCATTCACAGGCTTTGGGGGTCTGTTCCCACTCCCCATCAGAAGGAACTAGGCATCTGTCCAACCTCTTCCCACTCCTACAGGACAGGCCACGGGGTGAGAAGCTGTCCCCTCTCGTCACTCATTGCTTCTGTTTTTCCTTTCCAGAGCAACGAGATGCAGCACTGGGTGAGTCTCTGTGAACTCCTCCTGGATCAGTGTCCTCTCCTGGTCTCTCTGTACTCGACCCCTTCCCCTCTTGCCCATCCTCTCCATCCCTGCATCCCCTGGATCTGGGGAAACTGCAATGGGATGTGCCCAGAGGGATGGGCAGCTTGCGATCCCCAGACCAGGGATGGGACCTTTGCCCTTCCCAGAGCCACTGTGGATGGGCCAAGTCGTGTCACCTGCTCTTATCTCTCCTTCTAGCTTGGAGAAACTTTCTGCTTCCTGAGAATCCAGGTAATGTGTATTTTTTTTAATTTTTTTTTATGTTCTTTTATGGGTGTTTCTTCTCCCTTTCCCTCTGTCTGAGGTGTAACTGGGCTGTCCAGCAAAGGGACTGGCCATGCCCAGGTGTGTTGGTGACTCTGACCCCCCCGGTCCATGGCACTGGGCTGGATCTCACCCCTGTTTTCTTGCCATTCAACCCCGTTCTGATTTACACCGTGGTGCCCCAGAGGTGCCATCTCCTCCTGAGACCCCTTTCACTGCCCAGACCAGCTCCTCTCCCCATCCTGCTACTCCCTTGGGGCTGCAGCTGCACCAGTGCCTCTTCCCGTGGGACTGAGCTTGGCCATGGCTGTGGTGGGGCAATCCCCGTAGCGGAGATGGAGAGAAGGAAAGAAGATGCCTAGTCTCCTGCCCCACTGGGTCCCTCCTGGCCCTGGGGTTGGGGGTGAAACCTGCCCAGCACTGAGCTCTGATGCTCTGACTCCTCCTGTCCCCTGCAGATGTGGTGACCCTGGATCCAATCACAGCTCATCCAGAGCTTGTCCTGTCGAAGGATTTGAGAAGCATGAAGCATGGACCCGCATGCCAGAACCTGACTGACCACACCAGGAGATTTAGTCATTGGCACTGTGTGCTGGGCAAGGAGAGGTTCCGGGAGGGGAGGCACTGCTGGGAGGTGGAGGTGAAGGGGGAGGTGGGAGGCGATTCATGGTGGGGTGTTGGGGTGGCCAGAGAGTCTGTGGAGAGGAAGAGGAGAGTGGATCTGAGGCCTGAAGAAGGGATCTGGGCAGTTGACAGGTATGAAGGGCAGTTCAGGGCTCTCACCTCTCCTCCCACCCCCCTGTCCCTGTCCCCGCTCCCCAGGAGGATCTTGGTCTGTCTGGACTGCACACAGGGGCTGGTGACTTTCCTCAACGCTGACACTGGGGGTGAGATCTTCACTTTCTCACCAGTCTCGTTCCGCAGGGAGACCCTGCGCCCCTGGTTTTTGCTGGAGACAGAGGAAACCCAGCTGTGCCTCAGGGGCAGCACTTGCTAAACCTTCAGCCCCACTTCCATCCCCACCACTGG